CTCACATTTTCGAAATCAAAACCTTTCGAAGTTGAGGGTTTGTCAGTGGCAACCTTAACCAACGAATCATTACATTTTTCTTATCCTTTAGACTTAGATGTGACATTAATGACAGACAACTGTGAACAATCGACACTTTCCTTTTCCTCAATTTCACTGATTTCGCTAAAACTATCAGAATTATCATCGACATCAGCGAAATTAGATTGAGAGTCAAGTTTCGAATTCTCAGTTCTTTTCAAAATTTTGATTTGTTCATTTTTGGTTAAGGTATCATTGACAATGTCAACAAGTTCATCAGCATTCAAATATTCGTCTATTTTATCAATACCATAAGCAAATCGATTATCAGACACTTTATCGAATTCTGCTATGGTTTTCTCACAATCATAAGACAAGCTATCAATTTTCTCTCTTTCGAATGCTAGAAAAGGTAATAACTTTCTATGTTGTTCTTTGCTAATATCAGACGAATGATGCAAAACAGTCAATTTTGCATATAAACGTTTTGCAAAATTACAGTATATATTTCTTCGAGCTAACAACATTTTAACATCACTGCTTAACGAATCCCTATCACACATGATATTTGTAATCTGCAATTCTAAACTCTCAATTCTTATTTTCTTGGCATCTAACTGCTTATGTACTTCTATCAACTGAGAAGTTGATTTCTTAGCCTCGTTGCTAGCAGAGATAACCAAAGCATTGAAATAAGCAACAGTATCATCAAAAGCAATTAATTCAGAATCATATGCACTCAAAGGAATATTAAAAGATTGAAGAATAGAACGTACCTTGGTGTTCATTGGTGATTTGTCAGAACTTTTAGTCATGAAGCAACGACCTGTCACCGCTTCGTCAGATTTATCCTCAAATTTCGCAAACATGGCTCCATGTGTAGGATTACGCATTTCTTCGTCATCCGATCCCGAAGACCATATCTGATGAGTTCCTTCATTCTCATCATCGACCTCTCCCTTTGCCATCAGTGACATTCCTTTCGCCTTTGCCCTTACTTCTTCCAATCTCTCAACGTAATAGGCTTCGTCCTTCACTTTGTTTTTCTTCTCATCCTTTTTACGAAGTTGACAATCACTAGCCATATGATTGGCTCCTTGGCAATAATGACAATCAATTCCTGAATCACCTTTAATCTTCTTCTCAACTTTTGTCTCTTCTTTATCTACTTCCTTTTTCTCACTTTTCTTCTTCTCTTCTCCTCCAGCCTTCGACATAAATCTTCCTTTCACATCAACATTTTTCGAATTTGAATTGAACGGTTTCTTGAAAAATTTCTTGACTTTATTATTTGAATAAAAAGCAACAGCCTCATCATCCGAATTAACAATAAACCCTTCTTCATCAGAATTCTCCGCTTCAACCTGTTCCTTTTCTGAAACTTTCGAAACTAAAGCTAATGGTCCACCCAAGCTTAATTTCGATTCTTCAGCCATCTCATTTACCTCACCTTCATGAGTCTTTAGCAGATTATACAAATCATTCAATGATGATGTCGAAACTCTGTTGTGTCTTCACTTTGTTGGAATAAACCAATGTTTCTCTTTATTTTATGATAAAGTATCACAATCTTTGAAAAAAAAAACTTTCGGATTCGATATGAGGCAAATTAAGATTAAGTTTTTTTTCCATTTATTCCCATCAAATAAAAAAAATCATTTTTGTAATTTATTTCCAAATTTGAATAAGGCGGAAGATAAAAAAGACGATTATTATGAATTTTATCCTTATTAGGTTCAACCTTAACATTTTTATTAATTTTATACAAAAAATTTCTATATTTATTTTTTATCATATATATATATAATATCGTTTTTTCCTAAATAGTTTTAGCTAGGAATATTAGTATGTTACATTTTTTTTCTTTATTTATGGTGAAATTTTCTTGATTATTATTTGTTTCTAATTATGATCTATAAATATAATAGTTATTTTTAGTTTCAGAATGAATATATTTATATGATAAAAAATCTATCTATAGTTTTTTATTTATTTATTTTTATTTTTTTAATTACTCTCTTTATTTGGTAATAAATAGACTTTCTATTTTTTTTAATAAAGTAATTGGTTTTTTTTTACCATTTGTTTAAATCTTTATTTTGAGAACTACATTGGTTAATTTTATTTCGATATTTTTGGGGGATTAAACTTGACGATATAATGACCTGTTTTTCCATAGATGAAATAAAAAACATGCTTTAAAATTGAAATCAAGAGTCTTCTACAACTTAGCAAAAAAATATAAAATTAAGAACGCGTTCGGTATGTAGTGTTTGAGAGCTTATAACATTTGACAAAATATTCCATTTTAAATAGAAATCTTTGTTTGACACAACAAGCCTCTAACATTTAGTTTAAGCTTCAAATTCAAATGATATTTAACAAAAAGCTTACAATTATTTTTGCATAAGACCTAATTCATCGATATTTTTGCGGAATAAGTCTTAAGTCATCGACTTGTTGCACCTTGTATTAGCGT